TATGGTTCTGCCAGGGTCCACCAGCTGTGCAACACGGCACAGTACTCCTTGGTTGACCACCAAATCCTTCAGTGGAACGGGAGACTTGACCTGTAAGTCAACGTCCTCCTTGGTCAGGAAACGAAGGACTGGAGACCACACAGGGTCCTGTCGTTGGGCTCTCTCAAGATCCTCAACAGAGAACGAGTTGTCGACACTCACAAATGCTATATGCCTCGACAGGGCATCAGCTACAACATTTTGCTTACCAGGGTTGTAGTCATTGAACGTGAGCGACCACTGAGCATGCTTTCCCAAGAGATTCTTATTAGTAAAAAGGGCCAATAAAGGTAGATGATCTGTGTAAATCTTGATAGGATAATGGTAGATGATATCCCGAAAATGACTTGAGGCCCATACAATGGCTAAAGCTTCTAGCTCTGTCACTGAATAATTGACTTCCGCTTTAGTAAGGACACAGCTAGCATAGGCAATAGGCTGTTGCTTACCATTAGATTCCTGTGACAAGACTGCACAGATGCCAACTTTGCTGGCATCAGTTGTCAAGGTAAATGCCTTGGTGAAATCGGGGAATCTAAGGGTTGGGGCTGATGTTAACTTGTTCTTGAGAGTGACAAAAGCTCGTTCTTGATCACATGTCCACTCAAAAGGGGCATCCTTCTTGAGTAAGCATGTCAGGGGTGCAGCAGTGGTGGAGAAACCTGCGATAAAGGTGCGGTAGAAACTCGCCAGGCCTATGAATGACCGGACTGCATCCGCCGTCATGGGTCTGGGGAATTTCTGCACGGCCGAGATTTTAGACTTGTCTGTCTTTATGCCATTCTGAGTCACTACGTGACCCAGAAATTTTATTTCCTTCCGGAGGAAATGACATTTGGCGAGCTTTATCTTAAGGTTTGCCTGAGCTAGCTTGTCCAATACCTTGTCAAGTTTCTCGAGATGTGTCGGGACATCTTGTGACATAACTATGAGATCATCTAGGTAGACCATGAGCGTGCCACCTAGGAGGGTACGGAAAATTGTCGTCATCAAATGACTAAATGTGACTGGACTTCCGCGCAAGCCGAAGGGCATCCTCCTGAACTGGTAATGACCGGTCGACGTAGAGAAAGCTGTCAACTCTTTGCTCTCATTATCGAGGGGTATCTGCCAGAACCCTTGAAGAAGATCAAGAGTTGAAAAGACCTTATTATCATCGATGTTCTGGAACAGGTCGTTCAGAACTGGCAATGGAAAGCGGTCTGGGATTGTACATGCATTCAGTTTCCTGTAATCGATAACAGGGCATGAGGTTCCGTCTTTCTTGGGAACCAGAATGAGAGGAGCATTCCATGGGGAAGTGGACTCCTCAATAACTCCATCACGGAGCATCCGTGTAATGAGTTCTTCAGCGAAGACTCTTTGCGCATGTGGCAGGCTATATGCAGGTACATAAATGGGTTTAGTACCTTTGTCAAGTGGAATACGGTGAGAGATCGGTGGGGTCAAACCCATCGACTCACCATCTAGCGCGACTGCAGAACGTACATGACTGAGAACCTGGAGAAGTTTTGGGACTTCTTCAGGATAGTCTGTCAAAGCTAGATCATCTTCCTGCACTGGCCGGGTGTTGGAAGAGTCAGCAGCAGACTCGCCTGGGAGAACTGCACTTACGAGAAAGTCAGCTGGGGCTACACCCTCCACTCTCACTGGGAGAGGGAATCTGACAAGATCGACAAGTGAGGTATTCTTCTGCAGGGGAAATTCTCGACTGTGCATGTTGACAACAAGGACTTGCAACTTACCACGTTGCACTGTGTGCAAGGACGGTTCAAGGGAAAGGCCCTTGACTCGGCATGTGTCGTTGTCAACCAGCACATGGTCTCCTTCAAAAGCTCTGCTCACATACCCCATAACAGGAGTGGGTGAGTTAGCTGACAAAGTGACGTCATACTTTGTACAAGCAGTAACTCTGCTCGCTGATGCCATGACACGAGTCACAGTCGCCTGCCGACAGGGATACTGCGGCTTGACAACTGCTGTTCTCTACAACAGCGCTAGAGTTAGAGTGAAGGTTAGACTGGGCATCGAACAATGGTGTTGACTGGCGTCGACCCCTCCACCCCGAGAGTAGGCCCACAGTGCCGTTGACTCCGCTGTCACCACTGTTATTGCTGTTCTTGCAGTTGAACAGCGGTTTAGTGCCGATGGAGGTAGCGTAGGTAGCAATGATACGGCCATGGACTAGTTTGGCTTTAATTGGATAGGAGTGAGTACACAACGGGCAATGTGAGGGAATGATCGATAACCAGTCCGTGGAGGGAGAGTACTTGTGCCTATCAAGTCGGTCGGCCGGGGAGTGAGGACAAATGGGCCCAGCCTCCCACCGACCTGGGTGAGCCTACAGAGGGCAGCACTTAAATGCCGCGAAATATGAACTAAGCTGGCAGACGGCATAGGCTGTCTGTGCTGATAGTACAGGCTGTCTACATTTCTTAAAGACAGCCAGGGGTCTATTGGTAATCCCTCTTATGTATTCTGGGAGACATTTGAACAAATTTGGGCCTCTGTCACTTACCATGTTATCTCTTAGCATACTCGTGGTGCCCCTGCTTTTCATTGGGGGGGGATGTTGCATTTCCTGCCAAGTCTTTTGCTTTCATAGGGAGTGATTTTTGTGTGCAGATTTGGTAGGATTTTTCCAAGTGTATATTATCATATATCTTTCTTGCCTCCGTCCCAGGAAATACAAAGCTTCAACTGTTACCAGTAATTTATGTGCTTTATCATACTTATACATTGTTATGAAAGTTCTCTGTATATTCTCCAGGTCTGCAATTTTGTCTACCTCGAAAGGGGCCTTTAGTGTACAGCAATATTCCAGTCTAGAGAGAACATGCAATTTGAAGAGAATCATCATGAGCTTGGTATCCCTAGTTTTGAAGGTTCTCATTATCCATCTTATCATTTTCCTAGCAGGTGTGGTAGATACATTGTTGTGATCTTTGATGATAAGATGATGGGATGAGAGGTGAATATGCCAACTTTGCTGTTGGATGATCAGTGAAGGTTGGGGCAGGTAATGTCTTTGATGGTTTTAGAGGTATTATTGCAACATTTAATCTGGACTTCCAGAGAGTAGGCATGATGTAGACTGCTATTTGAAAAGCAGGAAATATGATGCATCTCTGTTCTCATTGGTCAAACAACCATCAACATCACACACACATCAGTAATACAGCAATAATCATAAACCCATCAAAGACATAATCTGCCCCAACCTCCGTAGAGCTTCCAGCGGCAAAGTCAGCATGTACACCATTCCCTGTGAAGATTGTGACAGGTAAAATACATGGTAAGACTGCACGTTGCCTTAACGTCAGACTTCAAGAGCACAAAATAGGGATGCAGAATTCATGGCATAAGCACATGCGTCATTTACACAGACAAACTCTCACATCTTGTGGCATGGGACAAGGCCAAACTTATTCTGACAGGATGACAGGGCAAGGAGGTAGTGTCTAAACTGGTCATCATCACTACTGAGCAGAATCAAGATGCTTGCTTGCAAAACCTCTTGCACACCATCTGCTAGATTTTTTTTTTTTATTAACACATTGGCCGATTCCCACCAAGGCAGGGTGGCCTGAAAAAGAAACATTCATCATCATTCACTCCATCACTGTCTTGCTGGAGGGGTGCTTTACACTACAGTTATAAAACTGCAACAATTACACCCCTCCTTCAGAGTGTAGACACTGTACTTCTCATGTCCAGGACTCTAGTCCGGCCTGCCGGTTTCCCTGAATCCCTTCATAAATGTTACTTTGCTCACACTCCAACAGCACGTCAAGTATTAAAAACCGTTTGTCTCCATTCACTCTTATCAAATACTCTCATGCACGCCTGCTGGAAGTCCAAGCCCCTCGCACACAAAACCACCTTTACCCCCTCCCTCCAACCCTTCCTAGGCCGACCCCTGCCCCGCCTTCCCTCCACTACAGATTTATACACACTCGAAGTCATTCTGTTTTGTTCCATTCTCTCTGCATGTCCGAACCACCTTAACAACCCCTCCTCAGCCCTCTGGATAATAGTTTTGGTAATCCCACACCTTCTCTTAATTTCCAAACTACGAATTCTCTGCATTATATTCACACCACACATTGCTCTCAGACATGGCATCTCCACTGCCTCCAGCCTTCTCCTCATTGCAACATTCATCACTCATGCTTCACACTCATACAAGAGTGTTAGTACAACTATACTCTCATACATTCTCCTCTTTGGTTCCACAGGCAAAGTTCTTTGTCTCCTCAGACTAAGTGCACCACTCACCCTTTTCCCCTCATCAGTTCTGTGATTCACCTCATCCTTCATAGACCCATCTGCTGACACATCCATTTCTAAGTATCTGAATACATTCACCTCCTCCATACTCTCTCCCTCCAATCTGATATCCAATCTTTCATCACCTAATCTTTTTGTTATCCTAATAACCTTACTCTTCCCTATATTCATTTTTAATTTTCTTCTTTTACATACCCTACCAAATTCATCCACCAACCTCTGCAACTTCTCTTCAGAATCTCCCAAAAGCACTGTCATCAGCAAAGAGCAACTGTGACAACTCCCACTTTGTGTTTGATTCTTTATCTTTTAACTCCATACCTCTTGCCAAGACCCTAGCATTCACTTCTCTTACAACCCTATCTATAAATATATTGAACAACCACGGTGCCATCACACATCCTTGTCTAAGGCCTACTTTTACTGGGAAATAATCTCTCTCTCTCCTACATACTCTAACCTGAGCCACACTATCCTCGTAAAAACTCTTCACTGCTAGATAACCTTTACATATTATGCCACCTATAGCTTGACCACCATGTGATGCAATCTTCCCTGTATATTTCTAAAATAAAGGCTTACTCTCAATTATATGTCTTTACACATGTTTGTTCCTCCAGTAACTAGCTAATAATTTTTTCTTATCCAAGCCTCTTCTTTTTTTTTTCCAGGATCATGAGATGGTTAAACCTTTAACATACTTTGGTCAAAAGGCAGTTGTCCATGAACCTCCACCAGCATACTATTATAATGGAAATGACAACTCTGTTCAACCAAAGATTGCTAACAGTGTCTCAGTAATAAGACCAAAGGAAGCAGACACTGAAGTAGGAGGACCACGCTATACTTCTGTAGTAACTCTCTCCTCAGATAAAAGTGAGCAACCTAGTGGAGCCCCACCACCAAAAGACAAAGTGAGATCAGTAGTTCAGCTAAACAGTAGTGACCAGAAAGTGCCACCCCGAACAGCTCCAGTAGTGCGAGGGTTCAGACAACTAGGAGAGGAACCACCCAGTCAAGGAGGCACAACTCACAGCAGAATTATATCAAGTGCTTTAAAGAATTCACAACCTTCACAACAACAGTCCCGTTCGTCTCTCTCTCCACCTGCAGTGAATGGCTCTGTGTCAACTCTCATGTCAGCCCAGGTACCAGAGGCACCAACAGCTGCAAGGCTTGTTGCTGCTGTATCACAGCCTACTTCAAAAGCTCCTACATCATGTACTGCTACTGCCCGTATCTCTCCACCTCGTACATCACCTTCTCGCATTTCATCCCCACGTACATCGCCTGCTCGCATTTCACCTGCACGCACTCCACCTTCTCGTATCAGTCCGCCTTCTGGACCGGCTTTTCCAAATGTGCAGCTTCGACCTGTGCCAGCTGGGTTGAGAGCTTCATCACCCCTCGAAGCCCCTGCTTCATTCTCATCACAAGTCCCGCCTGCTCTAGTACCAGGAAATAAAACTAGCAGTGTGCCACCACCACAACCTCCAGTACCCCCAATGGCACCACCACCACCTCCAGCACCTATGGCACCATCACTGCCTACGGCACCATCACCACCTATGGCACCACCCCCACCTTCAGCACCTATGGCACCACCACCACCACCTATGGCACCACCACCACCTCCAGTACCCAAAGCAATGGATGGTGAAAGGCGAACTGCTTCTGGAAAGCGTATTGTGTCATCAAAGACTGGGCCCGAGTTGGATGCTCGAGAAGAACTTATGATGGCTATCAAGAATCATGGTGGTATAAAAGGACTACGGAGGACACATACCTAAATGTTTTCATAATTGATATTGATTATCTTGGACAGTTTATTAGGACAGTCAGTTTAAATTTTGTAACAGTCAGATATAAGTAAAGCAGAATGAACTTAATATAACAACAGAACTGTTACTTCTCAATGCAAAAGAAATAGTGTTCTTGGGTATTTTGAGCACTTAGTTTTGCTTTACTTATGCAGTGTAGTATATTGGTATTTAGTGATTTCAAATAAGCTGTATGACCCCTTTTGGGTTTAGCTTGATTATACAGTTAATTTAAAAGGCAATTTTTGCCTTTTGGAATGGACTTCTGGTATATTCTCCATATTGGACTTTGTAACTATGCATTCTGTAGTTGCAGTAGTGCCTTACTCCATTATTATTATTATTATAATCAAAAAGAAGCGCTAAGCCACAAGGACTATACAGCATGTGCCTTACTCCAACAAAGCTCCAGTTACATGCTGAGTTGTGTATAGTTGTGTACAGTATATTATATCATTTTGTAGATATGTTGAGGATACTGTGATCAAACATCTTACTAAATGAGCATACAGAAAAACCTACATCAGACTTGTTTAGATTTTTTCCAACAAATTAGCACTTATTTGAGTGCTTCCGAGTTAAAAAATAATGATAGTCGGTTATATTTTTGGTGCTACTGTATGTAGATTTTTATATGGTACTTGCTTGAGCAGTATTTAGAGATTGTGCTAGGTTACTGAAATTGTCATGACCTTGAAGCATCATGAACTGTGAAGTTTTTGTGTGCATAACCATTTTGAGTATTGCTGTTTTTAAGCATATCATTGATGGATATATGTGTTTCATGTTTAGGATATTTTAATTCATGTACAGTTATCTTCAAAATCTGTCATTCTTAGCTTTCTACAATACTGATTGAATGTATTAATTAACCTGTTGGATTTTTGTTGTCAAAACGGGCAGCAGAATTGTACACAAGTACAGTACAATTAATTTTTTCCTTCTGCCAATTAATATTGGTAAGCTTATAAAACTTTTTTTTTCCATTTGAGTATATACTTTATTTTATGTACATACTGTATTAGTATATTTTCTCCAATGAATTTAATTGGAATTATCATTTCTCATTTATATCTTTATATATGAATGTAGCCAGATATCAAATAAAGACATTTACATCAGTAAGTCTTTTTAAGAACACTGAACACAATGAATATATTCTCTCATCTCTAATTGCTCTTCAGTTATATAAAGTGGATGAATCCAGTGGCAAAAATGGAGTTTTTTTCAGAAATGTCACCTGTATGACTAACACAAGATTTTTTTTTTTTTTTTTTCGTGAACACATTAAAGAACATGGTTTAAAATATTTGATGTCAGTAACTTGTTCAAGCAATTAATTGAATTTACTCTTTCACTGCTACTCATATCTTGTTTTCACACATACCATTTACACTCCTGTTTTCACACATACCATCTACACTCCTGTTTTCACACATACCATCTACACTCCTGTTTTCACACATACCATCTACACTCCTGTTTTCACACATACCATCTACACTCCTGTTTTCACACATACCATCTACACTCCTGTTTTCACACATACCATCCACACTCCTGTTTTCACACATACCATCCACACTCCTGTTTTCACACATACCGTCCACACTCCTGTTTTCACACATACCATCTACACTCCTGTTTTCACACATACCATCTACACTCCTGTTTTCACACATACCATCTACACTCCTGTTTTCACACATACCATCTACACTCCTGTTTTCACACATACCATCCACACTCCTGTTTTCACACATACCATCTACACTCCTGTTTTCACACATACCATCCACACTCCTGTTTTCACACATACCATCCACACTCCTGTTTTCACACCATACCATCCACACCTGTTTTCACACATCCATCCACACTCCTGTTTTCACACATACCATCCACACTCCTGTTTTCACACATACCATCCACACTCCTGTTTCCTAACATAAGCATCTCCCTACCTTCCTCACCCTTCCTACTGTGCACTACCAAATGACCCAAAAGAACTTAGCATTTTGGCTCTAAACATTTTCCCATGGTGGGCATACAAGGTAAAAAATACTGATTAATTGTAAAACAAATACAAAACCAAAATGAGTACTTCATTAAGACAATGTTTCACTTCAAAAACTCTCATTTAGGAGAAGCGTCTTCGTACAGTGTCAAGTGCAGTATTGTGACTATTCTTTAGTGTTTCACTAGGTAAACAGATTTTATAAAACCTAGAGAAAATGTGGAATACATGGGAGCAAAAGCCATAATGAGAAGAGCATTTGACCCCAACATGTGAATAACTGTAAAGGTCAAGTTCTAGAGTTGTTGTTGACAATGTACACTGTATCGAGCTCTGCGAGTCGGTGCAACATCCATAGCCACAAAGGATATAATGGAAGTTAAACATTTCACTTTACTGAAGAAACCAAGGACTGGAGGCCATACAGTTTGTGGAAAGTGGAGGACATGAGCAATACTTTACATCAAGCAATCATCTGGATTTTTTGTTCTTGACCACACACCACCACCTTTATACAGTTATCACATCCCTGGACCTTGCTACATATCAATCCAGTCCTGGAATAAATGTATACATTTATTACCCACCTAAGTAGTAGGTTGGTAAACAGCAACCGCCCAGGGAGGTACTACCGTCCTGCCAAGTGAGTGTACAACGAAAGCCTGTAATTGTTTTACATGATGGTAGGATTGCTTGTGTCTTTTGTCTGTCTCATAAACATGCAAGATTTCAGGTACGTCTTGCTACTTCTACTTACACTTACGTCACACTACACATACATGTACAAGCATATATATACACACACCCCTCTGGGTATTCTTCTATTTTCTTACTAGTTCTTGTTCTTGTTTATTTCCTCTTATCTCCATGGGGAAGTGGAACAGAATTCTTCCTCTGTAAGCCATGCGTGTTGTAAGAGGCGACTAAAATGCCGGAAGCAAGGGGCTAGTAACCCCTTCTCCCGTATAAATTACTAAATTTAAAAGAGAAACTTTCGTTTTTCTTTTTGGGCCACCCTGCCTTGGTGGGATATGGCCGGTGTGTTGAAAGAAAGAAAGATTTATTAACCAAGTTCTACTAACACTAATTCTACTAACACTGCTGTACATGGGGTGAGTAATCATAAATGACTTAAGTGGTCCCAGACCATATCATGATTACTGGGTGAAGGTTCAAACCTCCACCACTAACTGGTCACAGACCATACCATGATTACTGGATGAAGGTTCAAACCTCCACTGCTAACTGGTCACAGACTGTACCATGATTACTGTTTAAAGGTTGTAATCTTCACTAACTAGTCACAGACAAAGTTAAATATTTATTTCAGCTTGATACAATGTTTATTCAGATGGGTGACATGATAAAATGTTTGTACAGTGATGGGTGACATGATACAATGCTTGTACAGCGATGGGTGACATGATACAATGTTTGTACAGTGATGGGTGACATGATACAATGTACAGTGATGGGTGACATGATACAATGTACAGTGATGAGTGACATGATACAATGTTTGTACAGTGATGCCCCTCAAGGAAGGTTCCTTGATGTTGGTGAGGGGCTCTTGATTTAGAGAATTGGATCTGTGCTCCAGTTCCCCGAATTAAGCCTGAATGCCTTCCACATCCCCCCCCCCAGGCGCTGTATAATCCTCCGGGTTTAGCGCTTCCCCCTTGATTATAATAATAATTGTACAGTGATGGGTGACATGATACAATCTTTGTACAGTGATGGGTGACATGATACAATGTTTGTACAGTGATGGTTGACATGATACAATGTGTGTACAGTAATGGTTGACATGATACACTGCTTGTACAGTGATGGTTGACATGATACAGTGCTTGTACAGTGATGGGACGTAAGTTGAACCTTACTATTGAATATCAACATCACATTTTTGTAATGACTTTATTTTGTTTTATTTTGGTATTTCATTTTTTACTTTACTTTTTATGCTGTTAGTACTGTATTTTATACTGTAAGGTTTAGGACAAACACTGTGTACAACACAAACAGTTGTTTATTTCCCAGAAATTTGGCATACAAAACACGGTCGTAAGTCAAGTGGTCATATGTCGAGTAGGTCGTAAGTCGGATGGTAGATGTATAATGGTAGTGGGTTTGTCAACCATCTTCGATAATTTTTTAATGTCATCTTTGCACCAATTATAACATTTCCGGTATATTTTTACATATACAGCAGTGTACTGTATATTGTAATAAACATTACATTATTTAGGTATGAATATTGGTCAGAGAGCCCATCGTAAGTCTGAGGTGTTGGTAAACAAGTGTGTTGCTTAGTGAGGAGAGGCTGTATTTAGTTACAGTAATTATTTGCTTATTTACTGATTCAATGAGAGTAGTTATTAATTTGTTATTTATTTAGCATATACACCTACCATCCGACTTACGACCAAGCTTGGACTCCCGTTCACTGTGTATGTCGAAATGGACGCCAATCACCAAGTCGAACCTTTGAAAATTGCCGACATATTGTGTTTAGGGCTAATGTCAAAAACTATTCTATATAAATACACTAAATAATTCTGTAGTGTAATGTACAATTATTATTTCATTCTTTTTACCATAATTTACTTCTATTGTTGTATTTTAATTATTTATGTACTGTATATAATGTATACATGGTAGTGATATGTATTGTAAATTTTACATCGCATACAGCATCTTATGTTCTATTAGCTGTATGTATTGTCGGACACAGATGGATTTGGGAGAATACCATGTAGTGTCATCCTGCCGAATGTTGTGTAACCTATACCCTAAGGTAAAGAGAAACAACTCTGGAAACATGGGTAATTACGTTATTTGGCTGGGTGGCCGGGTCTGTGGTTGGACGGGTGGGTGGTGGATGGGGTTGGGTGGACGGATGGGGGTGGTGTGGGTAGTTGGCTGACTGGCTGACCGAATTGTGGCTGTCTCTTTGATCTCTCTCACTGTATCTTCATGTTCTCTCACTGTATCTCTCTCTGTATCTCTCCCTGTATCTCTCTCTATTCTCTCTGTATCTCTCTCTGTATCTCTCTCTCTCTCTTCATCTCTCTCTCTCTCTCTCTCTCTCTCTCTCTCTTCTCTCTGTATCTTCTCTATCTGTAGCTCTCTCTCTCTCTCTCTGTATTTCTCTCTCTCTTCTCTCTCTTCTCTCTCTGACCGGTACATGTAAGTCAAGTTATCTTACATATCATACTATTTCAATGGAGAGGAATAAATGGGATTAGGTCAGGGGTTTCAAATAGAGTTAGAGCTAAATGGAAGGAGTAGCATAATGTTGAAGGATAAGTTAT